ATGAGCAACCTAAAGCCTCAAACCCCACCAGCCTCAAACAATACAGCCAGCTGTCTGGGATGGTGGAAGTTGTAGTCCAACAATATCTAGAAGCCCACGGGTTTCTCAATGCAACCTGCAAGGTGTAGAAGCAGTGACTGGGAAAGACTGGGACCCAACAGTCAGTCATACTTGGTCATCATTGCCTTTTCATTGCCTTTTGAGCCTACATAATAATCATTGCTGGATATCTAGGCAGGTAACCTATTGGTTGCTTTTAGCTGTATTTCTATTTCTGTGGGTTTTGAAAAGTCTTATAAAAAGTCTATTTTCAATAGGGGTTTGCAGAAAAATACAAAACAAGGGACAAAGCAGCTTAGATAATACCCTAAAAATCTGAATATAAACCATTAGCAAAAACCTTTTTCAAAATTCCATTTTCTTCACCGTTGAATCAGTACTTATGTTTTAGATAAGCCATTTAGCATTATTAACTACAATGCTAATCTTGCCCCCGTGTCAAATGTCCCCAAGGGGAGAATTTGTGTGTCTGATTACAGTAATAAGAAGCTTCAACAATTGGATTTACTTGGCTAGCTGCTAATTGAACTGCTTATACCTTTCCACCATAGAGTTTGTGAATGGGACTGGAGAAAATTGGAAGCAATTCTTCCACCCCAAAATCCCAACTCCACAGAAGGCCATTAGTTAAGTGTTAGGCTCTGCTTTTCGGTAGCTCTCACAGGATGCACTAAGCAATTTTTAAAGTATCCCAACTCCAGCAAGAAGCTGCAGAAGGCTAGATGCAAAGAAGGGCATGCCTCCTGTACAGTTGTGTAGAGGAGAGAATTTTGGCGGGTGCACTTTCATAGAATCATAGAATTCTAGAGTTGGAAGGGACCCCTGCAATGGAGGAATCCTGCTCATAGCAATCCCTTGGTGGGCTTGAACCACCAACCTTCTTTGTCATGCAGGATTAAGAAGGGCCAAAATTCCCTTATCCATAAACCTATTAAGCGTACATGAACCCTAATTTCATTGCAATTAGTTATCCAAAGCAAAGCAGCTAACATTAACCGATGGGCCAGCAGGGTTGTAGGTATTGCACAAATCCAAATAACAATCTGTGTTTTATTTAAATGAGTCATGTAGGTAGCTTAGTACTGCTGAATATGGAAAATCAATCCCATGTTTGTTTGTTTGCTTGTGTGTGTGTGTGAGAGAGAGATACACACACACACACACACACACACACACACATATATATATATATATATATATATATATATATATGCAGGTTTTGGTGTCCTCGGGTGTCTTCCCGTGTAAAAGTTGGGGTGTCTAGGCGACGTTTCGACGAGGTCTCACTCGTCATCTTCAGGCTGGTGCTTTCGGCTTCTTGTTACTGGAACAGAGCAGGATCTCAGTGTTTGAGTTCCTATAAATACTGTTGAGGGGGTGTGGTGTATAGCCTCCAATGTTCTGGGCAGAGAGGAAGTTCCCAGGTTAGTGTGCCTAAAAGGCTCTGCTCTGTTCCAGTAACAAGAAGCCGAAAGCACCAGCCTGAAGATGACGAGTGAGACCTCGTCGAAACGTCGCCTAGACACCCCAACTTTTACACGGGAAGACACCCGAGGACACCAAAACCTGCATTCCTGTACCCGTGAAAATCTACGAAAGCATATATATATATATATATACACACACACACGCAGTGGTACCTTGGGTTACATATGCTTCAGGTTACATACACTTCAGGTTACAGACTCCGCTAACCCAGAAATATTACCTCGGGTTAAAAACTTTGCTTCAGGGTGAGAACAGAAATCGTGCAGCGGCGGCGCAGTGGCAGCGGGAGGCCCCATTAGCTAAAGTGGTACCTCAGGTTAAGAACAGTTTCAGGTTAAGAACAGACCTCCAGAACGAATTAAGTTCTTAACCCGAGGTACCACTGTGTGTGTGTGTGTGTGTGTGTGTGTGTGTGTGTGTGTGTGTATACACATGCAGTTTGCAATGATATCTCTATGTAACATTAATTTACAATAAAAAACAATCAACTAACAAGTATGGAAATACTTTTTCTTAATCAGCCTGGTGGAATAGGAAGGGTTTTTAGGAGGCATTCAAGAGTGGAAACAAGAAGGCAGAGCATTCCACAGCATTGGCCCAATGATGCTAAAGGCTGTATTTTGGGTTGATGTCAGATGAGCCTGGCCAACTCGGGGGACAACCAAGAACACTTCTGCAGAGGACCTCAGTAATTCAGCCAGACTGTAAGAGGTTGGGCCTAAGTTGTCCAGGGCTTTGTGAATTGATACTGCTAATTGACTAGTCACATATACATCGAGCCAGATAAAGAATCCAATAGTGTGTGGTATAGTGGTTAGAGTATGGACTAGGGCCTTGGAGGCCAGGGTTCAAATCCCCACTTGGCCATGAAGCCCACTGGGTGACCTAGGGCCAGGAGAGAACATGTATGCCACCTTGAGCTCTTTGGAGAAAAAAATGGGAATTTAAATGAAATAAATAAATTAATAAAGTTGCATGTTTCTCCCACTTGACCTAAGAGGAGCTTAGTGTGAGGCTGGCTAAGCCAAGCAATAGTGACTTAAGAGTCATTCACTCAGAAAGACGGGGCGTGTCACAACTGGCATTGAGTGATTTAATATCTCAGCTACTAAGTGCAAGTTGCTCTCTGATTACACAGCTAATTGTAGCGCTGAGGGTCAGGGATGCCATGTCCCTGCCTCCCCATCCCCACCCCCCACCGCTATAAGCACTGCCTGAGGTGGCCAACTCCCTCTGGCTAATTATATGGCCACCCCTGTGTGACAACAATTCAAACACCAGAATTGAGCACACATTGTTAAATGAAAACAAAACATATTGCCAAGCAGTTCTATATGTTTCCTTTCATAGGCTCAAATGGCAGCTGCAGAAAAGAAAAACAAACAGCATTTAAAGAAAGATTTAAAAAATAAATGGATAAAATCTCAGCACTAATAATACACACATTCCAGGCTGCCTGAGATCTCTCTTGGGTGTCTGGAAACAGCTTTTAGAAGAGGCATTTATTGTATAAGGAATCCTTAAAGTGGCAATTTAGTGACCACCTCCAGTTGTTAGATTCCCATTCACCTCAAGTGGGGGGGTGTGTGAGAGTACCGGTAGTATGTCAGTATCACTCATAATCTATAGCTGAAGTTCTGGGCCTGCTGGGGTCAGTAATAATGCTTCTAGTGGCTTCATCTCTTTCGCTAGAATAGTCTCTTTGGAATTACTGTAAAGCAAATGTCTGCCTATCAACTTGGACCTTCAGGGTCTCAGCTCTCTCTTCCCTTGATGAAATTTCTGCTGAGCACCTGTAGTGCTTTAGCACTGGCATACAAATTACTAATTGGGTTCAGTACATTAACACAGTGGCAATGAATTAGCATAGGGATTACAAATGTTTAATTTTTTAAATGGATATCATTATCTATTGTGCTACCCACACTCTTGGGACTCTCGCTTTGTTTAGAACAAAAACATTTTCCGTATGTCTCTGTAAGTATTAGAAATGAAGGCACACACCTTAAATAGCACATAGCAAGGTGTTTTTCTTCAATCTATCCTCCAAAGTTCTTACCACATGGTCCAACAGGGACTGAAAAGTCATACATTCCCACCCACGCTTGGAATGAAAAGAAAATTATCCACCATTGCACAGCTTATTTATGCTCCAGATCAAATGAACTGGATGTTCATGCCAATATATCTGGGGGTAACTTTTATTTACAATGAAGATGTTTCACTTTCAGATCTGCAAACATATCTTTGCTCTGAGTTCTTTCTATACGGGAAGTAAAGTACTGTCATATTGGGAGTAGGACCTTTTGGATAAGTATCATAAAATACTTTCCCCAAGGAAGTCTGTTAGGCTTCCTCTTTATTTAGATTTGGGATCAAACTACATTTTATGTGGCTGATCTGTGATTGAATCTCCTGTTGTTGTTTTTATTGTTCCTTTAAAACTGCTGCACAGTTTTAAAAATTGATCAGAGAAGTGGAACTTAGATCAGGAGATGTGCAACACCCACCCTTGTCTGTTTTCCTAATTACAGCTTCAGGAAGTGGGGAAATGGATGGAGGAAGGATGAAGAAAATATTAAGTCTCAAGAAAATATCATGTCCAGCTTTGCCACTTGAGATTTTTTAACTGGTGTCACATGTCGGTGGGTGCTCTCAGAAGATAGGGTCCCAGGCTGTGTACCTATTACTGTTCACTCTGGCCCCAGTGGACTCCCACCCCTGTATTCTGAATCCATGTATGTTCAACATTACCCTTGATCCACAGGTATCCACAGGGAAGATCAGCCTGGCTCAAACTGGGTATAAATACCTCCTCATTCCATTCTGTCCCTGGATAAATAATCCCCTTCCTCTGCATTTTCCATCCACTCTCCTTGTGTGGCAGAGAGTCTCTCTCTCTCTCTTTTAATTGATGTGAGCCATTTGGGAGACAATTATTGACTGGAAAGTGGGATACAAAAAAAATATAATAAATCAATAAGCCATCTTGGGAAATCTTGCCCCTTCTTGGTTTTATTATTGATCTGTAAGTTGTTCTTGGAGTCCTATCTGAAGAGATGGGTGAAACAGGTTTCAATAGCTAAAGAATAAATAAGTGCATTGATTTTATCCCCAATGCATATGCAGGAAAATAGCAGTCCATTGCAATGAACGCATAAGCAAAACCCCATTAGGAGAAACTCTGCCAACAGCAGCAATTGCCCTTGTCATCCTAGGCTGGGGTCCACCTAAGCCAGCTCCTCAAATCTAACAGTTCCAGAGAAAAGGCTTGATCATTCTTTATGTAGTTCTGCCATTTAAGCTAAGCAAGTCTGGACTCAGCATTGTATTTTATGTACAGTTCTGGTACAATATGCTTAGCAGTCAAAGTGAATATCAAACTTCACAGACAACCCTTTTTAAAAAACAAAAAAATCTGCATATTTATATAAAAATGAAATCACACATAATTCAGGTTTCATTAGCTTTAATCTGAACTTCTACATGATGATGTTGATGCTCATTCAGACTCAACTATTGCTTTTTAAAATATCATATATGCAATAAAACCCACTACAGAGTTCCAATTAGACATGGCTAGATGTTGGCCATGGGCTCCTTTCTAGGTGTTAAGGGATAAGGTTTTTGTGCACTAACAGGGTTGTAAGTTTGGCAGCTGGTCCATCCATTTTATTCGACCCTCTTGGCCTCTGGGTTCAGGCTCATCACTGTACCTTCTTAAATACTTGCTTACATTTGACGCCACAAGCTCTTATTTCCTGAAAAAGAAAAGTCAATACTTAAATGCTACTTCTTCAAACACTGTGTTCTTCGTAGATAAACACTGGTGTCTTCCTTAGAATCGAATACTGTAGTATTCATAGTCAAACAGAAATAGCTGAATGATTACATTGGGAGTGTGTGCCCCTTTCACAAACATAAAAGCTTATCTGGGAACATTTTAAAATATTTTCTCAGCATGAATGAAGATATTACCTATCCAGATAACAAGACACTTCATTCTACTCTTTTATATCTATGTGGCTCATCCTCCCTCCTTTCTCTCATTGCACCTCAGTGGGCTGAGAAGGGCCTTTGGAGATGGCAATGTGGGCTGGGTAGGAACATATGGGAGAGGCTTTTCATCAGGTACTGGGGTTCCCAGCTGGTTTTTAAACTTAAAATCAGCACCTCGGTCCTGGAAACAAAAGCAGAACCCAAATGCAGAACTCTTTGCAGGCAGGCAAAGAGAAGCACAGGATGATCAAACCAGAAGTGGATTTAGGGGAGTGCCACCATTTCGCCTGCACTGCGCACCAGAATTATGTTGTAGAACGGAAGGTGAGAGGTTGGGGGGCGCTGAATTTTGGTGTCACACAGGGCGCCATTGAAATTTGAGACCCCAAGGTCTGCCATTGATCAAACAGCTGTTAACAATGCAGCAGCCATTTTGTCCACCAGTTGAAGTTTCCAATATATACAATCCAAAGCCCTTTAGACTAAAGGAAGCATTCTGGAGGTCTTTCAAGAATCTCTTAACCTTCAACCTGAGTAGTCCCCATAGAGAATAGGATATTTGCACCTAAAAGGAGAGGCTTGGGGAAGGAATTGAGATGCCTTTGATTTATTAGAAAAGATCAAACTTGTATTTTTAAAGGAGATACTTTTGGACAAAGTTAACGTTATTTTATAAGATAACACTTTTTTTTAAAAAAAATGACCTGGATGCTATGGGCATAATTTTCTCAGTCTAAAGAAGAACTTTTGATATCACTTCACAGAAAATATTAATCTAGTTGAGGAAAATCCATTCCTGGGGTGAGTGACCTAAAGCAGGTGAGTGATCTGAATGGAACTGGAAGAGGGAAGAAAGTGCACTTTAGATTTCAAAAAGTACCAGAAAGTAGGACAGACTGAATGGAAATGATTCAACAAATGAAAAAATACTGGCACACATTCTGTTCATTTTTTGTGTCAATGGATTTGATAAAGGAGTAAATGCAGCCAGGATGTGTGATCTCACAACAATGGGCCATCTATTGAAGAGAAAGGGACATCACAATTCAGAAAAAACTCAGGAACGACTTGACAGTGGCAGAGAAATAAAGCCTAAAGTGGAATGGGAGTTAACATAAGATGTGTATGTTTTAATTAACTAAAAAATGCTGACTTGGAAAATAATCTGCCTGGAAAGAATGGTGAATAAATGCCAAAAGCTTATGGCAGATCACTTAATAGACGTTATAAAAGGATTAATTAATTAACATTTGGAATATTGTCTGAAGTTCAATAGGGCCATAAAATTATTACTGAAGCATCATAGAATAATTTTTATGGCGCCTGAATGCCCTACATATTCAGAAACTCTCAAAGATACAAGCATGTGAAGATGAGATATCCAAATACATTAATAACACAACAGCGGTATTTTTTTATTTTTTGAGGAGGGGAGGAAAGATGAATGATGCTTTCAGAAGCAGGTAAGAGAAGTGATAATTTAAGCTGTCACAATGCATAAATAAAATACAAACAATGGAGGATTAGGATATGGCAGTTTAGAAATATCTATATCTATCATCTATTTATCTATCATCTATCTATCTATCTATCTATCTATCTATCTATCTATCTATCTATCTATCATCTATCTATCTATCTATCTATCTATCTATCATCTATCATCTATCTATCTATCTATCATCTATCTATCTTTCTATCTATCTATCTATCTATCTATCTATCTACCTACCTACCTATCTATCTCTATCTATATATCTATCTATCATCTAACAAGGGACGCGGGTGGCGCTGTGGGTTAAACCTCAGCGCCTAGGACTTGTCGATCACATGGTCGGCGGTTTGAATCCCCGCGGCGGGGTGCGCTCCCGTTGCTCGGTCCCAGCGCCTGCCAACCTAGCAGTTCAAAAGCACCCCCGGGTGCAAGTAGATAAATAGGGACCGCTTACCAGCGGGAAGGTAAACGGCGTTCCGTGTGCTGCGCTGGCTCGCCAGAGCAGCTTTGTCACGCTGGCCACATGACCCGGAAGTGTCTGCGGACAGCGCTGGCTCCTGGCCTATAGTGAGATGAGCGCACAACCCTAGAGTCTGTCAAGACTGGCCCGTACGGGCAGGGGTACCTTTACCTTTACCTTATCTATCATCTATCTATTTATCTATATCTATCTACCTCCCCACTCAAACCCCTGATGTGCATAACTAGTTGAAAGTAGATGTGAATTTGGTCAGTAACTAATGCTGTAGTCCACTTATGTTTGACTCAACTCCCTTAACTCAAAGGGATTCATTTCTGACACACAGATAGGACTGTAACATAGTTCTCTTAGAGGTACTCTTGGAGAGTAGAGTAAGGCTTGGAAACCCAAGGATCTAAGTGGCTTGCTGGTAAATCACGTTACCAGAGACTCCACTCCCAACACACCACTCTTTCTAATTACTGCTCCTTAACTATGGTCTCATGAGGAAGTTATAGCCATGGTGGTGGAAAATTATTTGCCAAGTAGACACATTATGTGACCCATGAGAGCAGCAAAATAACAAGAATGTGGAACAGTGATGGGATAAAATCAGGCCAAATCTTTATTGACTACAGCAGGCAGGGCAAGGATTAGCATGGTGTTGGGTCCCAGGATCAGTTCATCATTCCACAAGCCCCATGTTGATGGAATGGATCTGCCGGGTTTGGACCTTCCCAAACCTGTTCTGTGCGAGTCAGCCAGTGTTGAACCTTGCCATGGTGTAAGTCAAGCAAGCAAGGTCTCACTGGGCAACCAAGGTGCAGATTTCTACCAGGCAGATACCCCAACCCGAGCTTGGGAGTGCCATGATGAATTATGTCCTCAGGCTCCTTATGGGGACCCCCCTGTACAATGTTGATCCTGCTCAATGTCATAGAAACAATATTCTTTGTCTAACAAAGGAAAGCTGTAATTTCACTGAGAGAAAGGTGGGGGGAAATCCCTCAACCATGTACCGATCAAGTTGAGAGAAATATCCCTTTCCAGCCCTGTCAACCAGCGGCCCAGATTTGCTCAGTGAAGGCTCTAACCGAAGGGTGGGCAGGCAGGGAGCTCTCAAGGCAAAATGGCCCTGAGTTCCAGGGGAAGCAGCCTTATTAAGGCATTCCCCTCTCCTTTGCAAGGGCTCATGGGACAGCTTTTCCCATGAGCCCACCACACAAACAGTCTATGTGTCACGGCACCGCCAGGCAAAGGTGTCCCGTGCTTATGGGGCATGGAGTGAAGCCTACAGTACGCAAGGTAAAGTGAGGCTCCTTAACTGAGTGCAACACTATATTGCAAACAAATGGAGACACTGAAACCATTTCCCTATTCTTTATTTAGGAACCCCCTCTGCAACAGACACACCAGTTATCCCCCCCCCCCCCCCGTGTAGTGATAATGGCTGCAGACCTGGCAATGCTTTAATCAAAACAAACAACATATTTGCCAGAGGATTATCATGCAGATTCTTTCAGGTATGAATTCTACAGAAAATTAGCAGAAGGAGAAATTATGTGCGGCGTTATTATCACCATACATTTTTATAACACTATAATGTCTGAACTAAACTTCCTGTTAAATATGTGTGTGCACTGACATTTTAAAGTCTCTTATCTTTTACTTTTAAAACAACAGCTTCATGGGGGCTCCGTCAAAATTGGCACCACAGGAAAGGTCAATTCTTCACTGTGCTCCTGGTAAAAATGGTCACTGCCAGCTGTTACTGATCCTGAGTAGAAAGCTGCCATTGGCCTGACCATTACAATACATTATTATCAATACCTAGTTTGACCCTAAGGATGAGATCCTAATTTCACTTAAGTCCCATATAATTAGGAAAATGTAAATATATGGGGACAGCAGGAATAAGTGCACTAGCTCTGTGTCCTCTGCTGCAACTGTCTGAAGTGTGTGTGGACCCTGCGCACTTTATAACCCCCAAATGTGTGATATCAAAGGCTCCCTGCTACTTTCCCAGGTGACTGAAAAAGCAGCAGAGGGAGCAGAGATAGCCTGCTTCTCCAGCTGCCCTCCCTAATTGCAATGCCTGCACAGAGCCTCTCTTGGAAGCACATGCCATTAGAATCAATAGGACCGGCTTCCAATTAAATATTCCTAGGATTAGAGTGCTGGCGTTGAAACTGTTGTCTCATTTTACAGATGGCGAAGAAGTTGAGAGTTATGCAATAAAGACTGCGGTGAGATTCAGAGGCATGTCTCCAAGTTCCAACCCAAGTATTCTCTCTCTCATTTACTACAGCTCATCCTGTTGGCTTTGATGGAAATTCAAACTTGAAAGCTCCATCCATCTACAATCTCAATGGCTCACCTGGATGTTTACCAAGTTAGCATCCTAAACAAATGGTGAAGTGCATTTAGTAGGCAGTAAGTTCTCAGGGATGGGTTTGTAGCCCCCTGTGGGAAGAGGACTTTCAAGAGGGCTATAAACAAGATACTTGAAAAAGCAGCAGCAATAAACTTTATTAGGTCCTACTATCTCAGAAAGTCAGAAATAATGGTTAGAAAGAAAATAATACTTTCAAAAGGGAATTGCTCTCTTTCATTTCCTAAGCTACAAAAAAATTCTAGCCTTAAAAAGAAAAGAAAATAGCTCCCTCCTTCCACTTATGACCTGTGGTTTGGGATGCAAAAATCTTCCCCAGCCACACACAGTTTGTATCACAGAGCAAGTCAAGGGCACTTCTGTTACACGCTTTCTCTTGTGTAAACGGATCAAAGCAATTTGACGGTTAATATAAAGATTTGCTGAATTTAGAATGCTGCTATTTATGACAGGGACACGAAAGAGATTATTGCCTTAGAAGTAAATCAAACACAATGCCAATGCTTAATTACTCCAGAGTTAGCCAGCATAATGCACAAGCAAATTGTGGATTATTGCATTTAGCCATTTGAACAAATAAAGACTTTGGGGAGTGGAGAGAGGTGAGGGAAATATATTTGAAACATTGCATGTCCTTACCAAGTGCATTTCGTCCCCTTCAATCCACTGGGTCCAGCCACGGCCTTCTTTTTCTCCTTTCTGTACACAAAGAAGTTTATCTCCGTCCCACGTCACACAGGTCTAGTAAAATGCATTAAAAAACAGTAAGATGGTAACATTTAAATTCATCAGCTCAAATATTATTATTATTATTATTATTATTATTATTATTATTATTATTATAGCTTCTTCCAAAAGAAGGCAACTGCTGTATTTCCGAATACCGTAAATCAAGAATGAGGGAGATAAACTGGTGTAGCCTTCAGATTAAGTGAGAGATTCATTAGAGCCTAACTCGTTCATCCCAGCGGATCTTGCTATAGGATTTCTCCCTTAGAGTTGTTTGCAGAATAATACCTGGAGCCCAATGGAATGGGAAACATATCACCCTGAACAGACTATAATTTAATCTATTTATATGCTTTTTATGTTGTATAGATTATTTTATTTTGCATTTTTTTTAAAATCTTAGTAGAGTTGGTTAAACTATTTAAGAGGGGACCATTTTTGGTTGGGGGAGATAGACAGTGGAAGGCGAGGAGGGAAAACTAAGGGAAACTGTTGGATGTTGAAATGTTTAAATCTTGAATAAACGGTTAAAAATACCCATCTATTTGGTTTCTCCGATTTCTCTGCTGTTGTTTTTTTACACAGTAGATATACTTGGGTTAAAAGAAGGGGCTTTAGAAACAATCCACAGTGAAAAGCTAAGGAACAATAAACTCCACTGTAGTTCAGCTCCTGTCTGTATGCATAACCTGTCGATTCGATAGGCTGCGGAAAGGATAGACTTGGTCAACAAATGATGTGCTGCATTATAGAATCCACACAGCTTATGCTAATCGGAGCTAGTTTAACAGAAGTCAGTGGAATTACACATGCATTTAGCACAGATGTAGCCAGAAAAAAAGTTGTGCCTGTCTAATGCCCAGTTCAAAAGCGGGAAATAACTAGATTCATTATTAGCACTTTGATCATTCCTCACTACCACGGATTCTGTTGACAAGGCACAAGCAGCTTTTCAACCAGCAGGAGGAGCCGCTGTTCAGCATTTTCAATCTTTGGCTACAAAGCCAATTGACCTTGGGAAAATGCAGCGGTTTTTATAGTTCCTTTTTACCAATCTTTCTTTCAAGTGATTTAGCATGGCTTCAGAAAGACAGAAGGCAAGGGACTTCTTAACCCAGCATTCTCATAATCTATGATTTCCAGTAACCCATTTTCCCCCACCCCCACCCACACCATCTTTGGGAAGCATATGACTGTAGTAAGGGGTGTTTTCTTGGTTCTTTTATTAATACTGTGTCTACTTCCCCAGACAGTTCAAATAAGGCACCATGCTAAATGCAACACAATCTCCATTCACTTCAGTAGGACTTCCACAGGGCTGTACAAACACTGGTAACATAGGACCAGCGCCTGACTGAATATTCCCTGTGTCCTTCCCCACTCCCTCCCAAACGCAAGACATTGGATTCAGAGCAGCCAGTCCCCAAATATATAGATAGAAATACTTATTCCTGTGATAACATAAACTATAAGCCTGCAGCCCATGAGCTGGCTAATTAGTTGAAAAGAAAGTGGTGCGTGAAGATCTACACCAGGAACAAAGGGGGAAATAAAGATGTAGTAGTAGCAACTATGAGACCAGCAGTGACTCCTATTGACCAAGAGGCCATTGCAGAAGTGGCATTGGGTGGGCACTGGGCAGATCTGGCCTCCAAGGGGTGTGCTGCAGTTATTGCTGCCGCCACAGCAGCAGCAGAGGATAATTCCGTGGAGGCTAGATCTGCTGCCCCTGTGGATCTTGCTGTCTGAGGTGATGACTTCCCATTGCCTGCCTATATTGGGTGGGCCAGCCCTGTAGGGTGAGGTGATCCAAGTGAGAGAAGGGCTGCCCAGCCATTGGTTGGTGAACTTCCTTAGAATCAACTGTGCGGGGAGGTGATGGAGTAGGAGACCATGCCTTGGGATTGAAGCACCTGAACTTCCTACTGATTCTATTTTAATGCTGCTGCTTTAATAGACTTTGACATTATTTCAATACCAAAGTTTTGATTTTTAGATTTGCATTAAAACAATGTTTTAGATCTTTAGATCTGTATTATTGGTTAATGTCTTCGGTTAGTTCCTGAAAAAGTTTTTAGTTAGCTAAACGTGGACATCTTTTTTCTTATTCTTCTGATTAATGGATCTCTGATAGGCTTAGTAGGAAAATGTAAATTAAGAGGCAGGCTGTCCTCATTGTGTTAGCTGGCTATAATGTGGATGTAACACACAGTGCTACCTCTAGTTGGGGACACAATCTGTTCTGGGGTGCCCTTCGCACCCCAAAAAGTCCACAAAGTTCGCACCCCAAAAAGTATTTCTGTGCAAGCGCGGAGCGCTTCTGCACATGTGCGAAGCGCACAGAATGCAAAACCCGGAAATATACACTTCTGGGTTTGCTGCATTCACAAACTGAAAAGACGCAACATGAATCTAACGCAACATGAGGTATGACTGTATTAGGATTTATAGAAGGTTTTAAATTGATTTGGCATACTTTTACCATCTGGCCTGAAGGAGTGGGTAGAACCAATAGTGACCTGGTGTGACTTATTTGCAAAATGTTTTGAGAATAAAATTCCTTGCTATTATACCAGGTGCCTAGCACTTTTCCTTTTCTTTGATTCCTTTGATTCATTCTTACAAATGTCTCCTCACCTCTACATTCACATTACTTCTATAAACATAGATCTGACAACCTGAATTTCTTGAGGCAACATGTACATCCATCCTAAGTCAGATGTGTATAATACTTTAGCACCACCAAAATTTCCTGTGACCTCTTTCACCAGCTGCAGGAAAGTGAGGAAACATGAGTGCCTTTGTTTCTTATCTTAACACTTCTACTGTAAAGTGCAACAGGAAAACACATATATTTAAGCTATTTCTATACTGGGTGTTCACGCTTCCCTCCCCAGTCCCATGGAGGAGACGTGCAATGTGCTCCTTTGTACATTACAGTAGACGCATGAAAAGCACAAGCCATTGACACCCCCTGCAATTGCAAAAGAGCCCTGGGAAGCATTGCAACATTGTAATGTTACTGAAGTTCACTAATGAATTCAGAAACATTTAAGTCTCAGATTGAATATGTTTAGGGAAGGCAGTCTTCCTTTCTTTTGCAATCCACATATCCTGGAGCTATGGTGTGTGTGTGAGTGAGAGTCCTACTGGAGTTTACGCATAGAAAACAAAATGTTTTGGTTACCCCATGCCCAGGAAACTTCATTATTCTTTGCTAACTAGAATGTTTTGCATGGTGGCTCCTAGCTGGAAGATGCGCATTTTCTTTAAAATGTAATTTAGTTTCATAGCTTCTAGTACTAATGCTGCTGGTTCCATTTCCAATTGCGCATGAAACATACTAAATCTTCCCTGTTGAAATTCACTCTCTTATAGTAATTTAAAGAAGCATGTTTATTTTAAGTGTTTCCCAGTGGCGCTCAGCATCAACAACATAAGGGACCAGAACGCTGCCTATGGGGAAAGAACAGGCAAGGATAACTGTGCACAGCAGGCAGAGAGAATTCCCTAGAAGGCAACATGTGTTCACCCTGGAGATAACACCTGTCTTGAAAGCTGAACAACTCTCCCCGTTTCTAAACTTTGAGTGGATACACTTCTCATCCCTTAGAGTATACCACTTAGAAAACAAAACAGCTTGTTAACAAAAGACACAATGGGAGTGAAATATCAACTAGTACTTGGTGTTGCTGTCAGGATGCTAGATATAAATTCTCTGATGGAAGACAGATCTCACGACACCTTTAGCTACAGTTTCCTGATGGAGTTATCTGCTGCATGGGCACTGCAGTTATCCCTGGCCAAGTGCAATTTCTTTGCCCGCTGTGGGTTTTGAATTAAAACGTGTTGAAAACCAAACAGTTAAAGGCAAACTGAGGCAGTAGCAGCCATGGGAGGAACTCTGTATGTGAACAAACACACACACCAACAACACCAAAGCAACAAGAATTGGCCCCAACAAATTGGTGGTATTTCAGCTCAGGTGTTCCTGGATGAAAAGGATTATTTTAGATCCATTTCCATTTGGATTCAGGCCTGTTTATGAAATTAAGAAGGCTGTTGTTGCCTTGGTTCATCTATGGTGAAAACTACATCTTGGAGGCTCTCAGAGCCATCAGTGTGGGTATCATTTTGGACTGGCTAGTTGCCTGGCACTTGGAGGCAACATTATACAGTGGTCTCAGTCATTCTTGGATGGGTGACTCAAGAAGGTGGTGATGGGGGAAGTCCTGTTAGATTCCTTGGTCATTGTCCCTCATGGCTCCATCTTGCTCCCCATGCTATTTAACATCAATATGAAACTGCTTGGTGAGGTTGTCCAGGGTTCCAGGGCTCCTTGTCACTTCGTCTTACTTTGTCCACTGTAAATATGCTGCAGGTGGTTAATTGGTTGTCTTTTAAAATAATTTAAGTTGATGTATTTTATCCCTCTTGTTGTACTGTTTTTGACAGTTCTATTGTCTTTAACTTCTTTCTTACTGCTGCTAGCCACCTTGACACCATTTGGTAGGATACAAAGCTAACAAACAAATTTGGAAGGAGACATTACCAGAGACCTATGGTGTGTTTTGTGTATGCCTATAACATTTAGGTTTATTTGCAAATATAAAGCTGAGCATAGATTACGACACACGGCACAGCACTTCCGCAAGCAGCAATTTCCCTGCCCCTGCATCAGTTCTCCACAGAGCGGCATTCCTTCCCTCACAGATGCTTGCAGCTAGAGGTGAAGGAATCTGTCAGTTTCCGTTTCACATTTGCTTTGACTACTGCAATGCCCTTTACATAGGGCTTCCATTGAATTAAGCCTGAAAGCTGCAGCTAGTGCAAAACATCACTGAATGGTTGCTGTTTGGGGCAACCTCTCACCAACATCTCCATTGAAAGGAGTGCACTGCCTGCCAATTTGCTACCGTGCTAGATTCAAGGTATTACTACTGATGTATCAAGCCCGATACAGTTCTGCAGCAGAGTACCTGGAAGCTGTTCCCCTTACATCCCATCACATT